TAAACAGTAACTTCTAACATGCCCTCAGAGGACACGGCGAAGATTAAATGTGGTAATGTAGAGAAGGAATTTTACGAAGAAGTGTTCTACACATTGTTGTTGTTATATGCCATCCAGTAAACTAGGACTCCTACTTACCATGTGGACAACATGTCTGAACCATGCCCTATCATGCCCCATCCTCACCATTTCTGTCATGCTTAAGCCCTTTGTCACAGTCACTGTGAAAACCCACCTTGAGAGTTTTTCTGTCTCTCCAAATCTCCACCTTTCCTAGCATGATTTCTTTTTTCCAAGTCACCTCTGAACAACGTGCCCACAGTCTGTGAGACAGAATTTCACTATCCTTGCCTCTAAGGAGCACCCTGGACGCCTCCAAAACAGACTTGTGTGTCCTTTTGTTAGTCCATGGGACATTCAGTATTCTTTATTAACGCTACAATTCAAAGGCATCAATTCTTCTGTCATTCTTATTCATCATCCAATTTTCAGATGCATGAGAAGTAATTCAAAAGACCAGCATCCTTACTCTGTAGCACTTTGTTGTTATTGTGTGCCACTGAGTCGGAAACAACCCATAACTGACCCTCTGGCGGGTCTTCAGAGGCAGTTAATCACACAAGAAGAGATTTAGCACTTTTATAGTCCATCATTCCAAAGTAACACATCTTTTGATTTCTTAACTGCTACTACCATAAGGGAAGCAGGAGTGGCATCCACTTCCTATATAACATGCATCAGGAAACTCTATGAACTTTGATAAATGTCGGTAGTTGTAGAGGGGTGTCAGGCCTTTTGTTCACAGGGTCACTATGAGTCATGCTAGACTTGAAGGCAATCAACAACAACAACAACTACCATAAAGGTTTTTTGTGGATCCAAGCAAAATGAAATAATGGACACCTTCAATCTTTTCTCCATCTATCATGATGTTGCCTGTGGATCAGTGATGAAGATTTTTGTTTTCTGGATGTTGAGATGTGCACTATCTAAACTGAAGGTTGCCTCTGATCTTCTGCTTTAAGTCTTCCTCACTTTTTGCAAGCCACTTTGTGCCATCTGCATAACGCCAGTCCTGATGCCACATTCTTCTTCATATAGTTCAGTTTCTCCAGTTGTTTTTATCAGCATACCAGTTGGGAAAAGTATAGAAAAAGCATACAATTCTGATACACACTCTTCTTGATTTTTAAGTCATGAAGTGTTACCTTATTCTGTTTGGACCACAGCTTTTCAGTCTATTTCTAGGTTTTGCATGAGTACAACTTAGTGTTCTGAGGTTCCCATTCTTCATAATGTTATGATCCACACAGTCAAATGCATAGTCAATAAAACACATATAAGCATCATCCTAGTTTTCTCTGAGTTTAGCCAAGATCCATCTAACATCAGCAATGATATCCTTTGTGTGATGGCCTCTTGTGAATCCAGCTTGAGTTTCTGCCTGTTCTCTGTTAATGTTTAGGTCTTACTCCTTTAAAATGCCCTTCTATAAGATTTTATTTGCATGTGATATTAATGATATTATTGGATAATTGTAAAAAAATGGGTTTTGTTCTACAAAGTGTAAATAGTATTGTTACCAAAAGTGTTCTCTGGGAGGAGCTTCTCTGTTCATGCTAGAGGATCCCTGGTGGGGTCACCTGCCCTGTTGGGCACTGCTGAGATCAACACTGGCTGCAGGAGCTCAGTGCCAAGGCAGCCTCAGAGTGGATGGGGAGCCAGAAGTTATGGCTCCACCACTACTTGAGCATACCAGAGAGACAGTCTGCATCCCTGGGAGAGAAATTTGTTGTTGATGGTGGTGAGTCTTCAGAGCAGTCCTTCTGTGGACACAGTGTCATGCTCTAGAATTAAGGGGCAGAGTCTCTCTACCAACATGGGACAGTCAGAAAATATTTGGCTCCATGACTCTTCCTCAGCAGGGACCTTAAAATGTTTTTAACCTCTAAGTGCTCACTCAGCATTCCTGTGGTGTGTATTCTTAGCTCCTCAGACTCAGAGGAGCCAGGTCAGGTTACTGTGAACCTGCCCTGGAGCTACAATTAGAACCTGACTCCAAGTCCTTTCAGCTCTGCTCAAGCCCCACTACTGACACACCAGCCTCCCACCAGGCTGACCTCTGATGGATGATGGGGCTGGCAGAAGAACTGAGAAAAAGGCCTGTAAACAGCAGGTTCTCAGAATTGGGGACAAAGAAACACTGAAGCATCAGGTGGTGTATGAAGCCTATCGACTTTCGAGTCAAAATACTTGGAGTGGGATCCTGGCTTTTTGTCCCAGCTGTGTAACCTTGGGCAAGTCCCTTAGACTCTTGAAGCCTCTCGTTCCTCCCATCTCAGAGATGATTGTAATCCTCTCAGCCTCTCAAGAGACGGGTTGTCGGGGAGCTGATGTATAGTGAAGCTCACATTGGCTCTGTAACCCACTTCCTCCTAGTTGTTGGTGTTATGTGCCATCGAGTTGTAACTGACTCATAACTGAGTCACCAACAGCCTATACATTAGAAGCTATAAATCACAAGAGAGTAGATTGCTTGTCTTTCCCCCTTGGAGATACCAAACACCTGCCTTTAGGTTGGCAGTGCAACACCTTACCACAGAAAAAATGCTCACTTCTATGCTATGATGGCCTAGTGGTGGGAAGCTGTACTGCAGTCCCAAAGGCATGTGGTTTAAATCCAGCAGCCACGCTGAGGGAGAAGGAAGGGGTTCCTCCTCCTGTGTGATTTACTGCCTCGCAAAACTCACAGGAGGGTCAGCTGTGGGTCGGTTCTGTCTCCCCACCCCCACCCCCGCCTTCGGTTCTGTCTTGATGGCACATAACAACAACAACAATGGGATTGGAAATGGTTCATAAGTTACCCTCTTTAAGTATGTTTCTGAGGCTGTAAATCACGTGGAGGAGAAGGCCCATCTTTCCCTTGAGTATTGGCTGGTGGATTTGAACTGCCTGAGCAGTACCACTCGGGTTAGCAGCACAACTTCTTCTTATCATCAGAGGTTGCTATGAATTCTCCCAGCATGGAGGTAGAAACAACTCATTGATTCTTTTTAAAGCTCCCATTCATTAAGGTAAGGGAATTATCACTTAATGGGTTCTACTCACTATGCTGTGCTAGTGAGTTCTCATGGCCTAATGGCAAGAAGCTGTGCTGCAATCCTGAAGGCTTGTGCTGCAGGAGAAAGATGAGCAGAAAGATCCTCCCGTGGGATTAACTGCCTCTGAAAACCCACTGGAGGGTCAGCTATAAGCTGGTTCTGACTCAATGGTATACAATAACAACAACAAGAAGTCACTTTGCTAGTGACTTTTTAAAAAAATGTATACACATCCACATTTATTGTTCCATTATTCAAAATAGCAATGAGATGGAAGCCACTCCAGTGTCTACCAACAAACTAATGGACAGAACAACAGTGACACATCCACACAGTGGAGTGTTATGAAGCAATGAAAAACAACAAAGATCTTGAGAAACACTATACAACATAGACGACTCTAGAGAACATATTGAGTGAACCAAGTCCAGCTCAGTCACAAAGGGACAAGCAGGGTACAGGACCACTGTTAAAAATCAAGTCGTTACAGTGCAGGGAGGGGGTGGTTGATGAGAAATGGAAGAAGATGCATAGATAGGGAGTACAGCCTTGGAACAGCCAATGGGAAAGTAATTCTGAAAAGAATGGGTGGAAAGTCGTTATGAGTAACGCAACTAACAAACTGATACAGGTCACGCATGAAAGAATGAATGCGGAGGGAAGGGGGGGTGACAAATCTGCATACATGAGCAAATGGAAAGTCAATTTCTTTGTAAACTCTTACTCAAATCACAATGAGAAAGAAAAGAAACTACTAAAATAAAAGCAATGAAAGATATGATAGAAATTGTCATGTACGAGCATGACTGGTTTTTTTGCTAGTGACTTTATGTAAGCTGTTTGATTTGATCCTTAAAGGGTATTCTTTGGACGCTGCACTGCAATTTCAGAGGTACGTGGTTCAAATCCACCAAATGCTCTGCTGGAGAAGGAGGGGGCAATCTCCTCCTGTACTAGTCAGATCTGATTTGACTGTACACACAAAAATAATACAATTAAAAAAAATTTTTTTAAGAAGTGTATTCTTTGAGCATATTGTCATTGTCCTATTTTTTTCTCATGAATAAATAGATATTCAGAGAGATTAACTAATTTATTTCTGATCACATAGCCGTTAAGATGTCGATCCAGGGAAGAGGCACCAGAGGCTGGGCTTTAGGTCTGTGTCACGCTTCCCAGAACTTCCAGTGCTAGACTGTCTCCAGCCACAAACAAAGATCCCTCTACCAGCCCACACAAGTGGACTGGAAAACCAGTTACAATTAGAGGCATTGTGTAATTTATCACCTTAGCCAGCACACTTTTATCCTCTAACCGAATGAGATTTACCTCAGGGAAAATGCAGTGTCGGTACCCTGATCTGAGGGCAAATGTCTTAGTGACGGTGATGGTTCACAACGTGGCTATGGATTGAAAGATACACTTTTCTTTCGCATTTAACATTTGTTGCAGTCAATCACTGGCATCTTTGGTGCAATGAAACACAGTGAGCGTCTGGAAGATGTGTGTGAATGGAGGGAGAGTGGCAGACCAGCGCTGGTATTAACCTGGAGGACTACCAGGATGGGAGATGCAGAGGATGGGCTCCAAGGAAGAAGAGAAAAACACTCAGGAAGGAGAAAGCGAAAGAGATCCACACTGAAAGGCAGTTTTCCATGGGGAGAAAAGATCGAGGGTCAGCATATAGACATTTAGAGCCATGACATTTGGGTTCTAAGACCACGTGACTTTTGCCCCAGTACAGACTGCTCCCTGTGCCCCCTGACCTCCCCTATTTCCACATAGCTTTCACCTTCCAGCTGATACCACAGTGGGCTGAACACAGCCAAGCCAGAGGCTAGCAATCTGTAGACAACAATATTGGTAGAATTGAATCTGTACATTTCTGCCCCCACTCACCACAGTACGGAGCCTTGGAAGAGGTCAGGAGGTAGACTTTCACTTCCTTCGGAAGTGGCACTATATTGACACCACTTTGTTCTACCAACCCTGGAAATAAGCAAGCAGAGAGGGGCTGAGTCCTATGGGGACCACCCCAAGGTGTCAGGGCCCCCACCCATGCACGGATTCGTCTCAAACACTGATTCATCCTACAGATATCTACACTGCAGGCTAAGCTCCACCCAGGATGACACAGCTCAGCCCAGTGGGGGATAGTTAAACAAATAAGCAGGAAGCCCTTGTTTTAGATTAGCTGCGCTGTTCTGAGAAGATGTATATAAGAAAACAGAATTATGTCTCTAATTTGAAAAACAGTCTTCTTTGAAGGGTGTAGCACACATTTGCATCACTTACAGGGTAACATGGTGAGAGAGGAAGCGCTTAGGCAATGGTTACTGATTGAGGAAGTGCTTAGGCAATGGTTATTGATTGAACGTGGGAATGGGGCATTTTTGGCAATGAATACAGTTCAGACAAAGGCACAAAGGGCAAAAAAAATATGACATTCTAGGTGGTGTATCCCTATGGAGTTCAAAGGAAAATGCAGTGGCAGATGAGGCTGGATAGGCTGTTGGGCATATATGACTATGAAGTCGTTAGCAATGCTGTTTTGCTTTGTTATAGGGAAAACCCCTCTTCTTTAAGGAATCCTATTGGCACAATGATTAAGGGTCTGGTTGCTGACAAAAATGCCAGCTGTCTGAATCCATCAGGGCTCCATGGGAGAGAGAAGCAGCTAGTCTGCCTCTGCAGAGATTTCAGTCTGTGAAATCACATAGGGTAGTTGTACTCCATCTTGTAGGATTTTTAGAAGTTGGATTCACTGAACACACACAACAGCAAGAACCCTAATTCAGTACTCTCTGGACAATGCAGACAAGATTGGAGGTTCCAGTCTACCCTGAAACACCTCAGCAAAAGGTCAGGTGATTGACTTTTGATAAGTCAGCCGCTGCAAAGCCTGTGGAGCACAGCTCGACTCTGATACATGAAGTGTCACCACAAACCCGAGCTGACTTGACGGCAACTAGTCCTGGGGCCTTTTAAAAAACATTTTGTCAAGTTGCTGCTTGCGTCCATCATAGAAGCAATGGCAGGCTGCTGCCGCTCTGAGCAGCAGCTGAAGATGAACAGGAGGGAGTGAGGGCAACCTAAGGGAGGAGAACACTTGCCTGTACCCCAAAATTTCCCCTGGATCTTGTCTTCCTGAACAACCTCAGGATATGTGCATCATTGATAAACATGCATATGGTGACTTACGTAGAGGTTAGTTTTCAGTATCCTGCTCAGATTGGCCTTTCTCATGCAGAAATGTACTCTTTACTGCTCAGGCACCTTTAGGGTTGGCATTTGGCAACCGCAAGATCACAGCTCTCAATGGCACCAGGGGTTCTACTCTAGGGGGTTCTCCCACAACACCTTGACTTGTAATATGTCAGGAGCTGTACAATGATCAGCTTCAGTAGAAAGACCTACTACAAGCACGTGGTGTCACCAGGGCTATACATTTAGAGCACCTTGAGGTGGATGTTCAAGTATGAGGCCGTGTGACTGGCAGATATAGTGACAGGAAGCAGAGTATGGAGGGTGGAGGGTGGGACACAGAGAACGAATGTCGTCTTCCAGCTCAGCACAGTCTGGCTAATTTCTCCTTCCTCCAAGTGGATTGGCTTCTTCTTGACCACAGAGCTTAGGAAATTGACAACTAGCAGAGCCTAAACTTTGCCTAAATTGTCAAAGGAAGCCCCAGGAGTGACATTTTACCGATCCGTGGACAAGAAAGCAGGAAAGGGTTGAAGCAGTCCAGGCAATCTCCAGCAAGGAAGGCCTTGTAGCTGGAACAGGGGAAGGCCATCAACGGGCAGGAGTCCTCCAGGGCACTGAGGTAGAGCTGCACAGCCCTCATGTGATCGCAGATCAGATAATTGTAACCTGGACAAGTTGGCCAAACGAGCAGGTTTCAGTTCACAGAAATGGAAAGTCCCCTATGTGAATTACGGTAACTCTATTAAAGTTTCTATTCCAGAGGCTATAAATACATAGGATGTCCCCCAAGTCACTTTCACGAATATTAGCACATAGAGTTAAAAGGAGCTCTGGATGCGGCTTGGTTGCTAATTATGAAGTCAAAGATTCAAACCCTTAAGTCCCTCTGAGGGAGAAAGGTCTGGCCATCTCTCTACATAAAGATTACAGCTTGGAAAATCCTCTAGGGCTATTCCATTGTCAGAATTGACTTGACGGCACACAGCAATAAATTTAGTCTGTCAAGAACAGAGTTTGACTCCCTTTCAGAAAATGGGAACATCCAGGAAGTTGGAGATACTGACCCCATTTCTCAAAATGGATATTCATCTACACATGTTTACCCAACATGCTATTATCCCTACAGTCAATTTTTTTCAACCCTATTATACCCATCTCCTGCAACTCTGGTATCCCAGTAGATAGAAAGCAGTGCTGCCAACCCAAAGGGTTTGACTTCACCAGCTGTTCCAAGGGAGAAAGAAGGCCCATTTCCTGTGCACTTTATAGCCTCTGAAAACCCACTAAAGAGTCAGCTCCGAATCAGTTCCAACTCGATGCCAATAAATGAGTTGACTGCTATCCATCTCACCACTGCGAGACAATCCAGCGGGTCAGCAGCATTTCCTGGCCCATCTCTGACAGATGAGGTTCAGCTGGCCAAACGCCTGCTGCATAGAGCTTGCCAATGTCTCGGTCTGCTGAAACCTTGCTTTTGCTTTTGTTGTTTAAAAGTTCACAGTGACCCATGTTGAATGGGCCAAGAGGTCTGTGGTAAGCCATAACTCCAAAGCTGTGGGGTTTTAAACTTTCTCTTGAACTTGGTACTCTCTCTTGAACTAGGATCCAAGGCTTACCAAGGTGGTAGCCTTCCTTTGCCCTCTGGCTAGGACGCTCTGTATGTCCCAGTTGCTTCTACTGTAGCAGGGAACTGGGCAAGAGGCAGACTTCTCAAATTTGTTAATAGGGGAAAAAAATAAAACAGCCAACTAAAATGCCACAAGAATTTTCAAAAGTCCATGGAAGCAAATAATTTCATCTGGTCAAAATTGCTGAAAATTTATAAACAGCTAACAAAAGAAAAATTTTAAATTGGTAAATTTGGTGAATGATTTTCAATGGATTGTTAAATGGATCCTTAAAAAGCTAAAATTTGGTAAAATTATAAAGATAGAAATGCTGGTAACATTATATTGGGATCAACTAAAATTCCCATATGAAATATTGATATGTTGATTATGTTCATAAAGTGAATAAATTGTGATGTTTAATTTTTCACAAATTTAACAATCTTTTATTTTATTTTATTTTATTTTTACAGGGGATAGCGCCCACACAGTCCCCCACTACCATAAATTATGCAGTCGAGTTTCCCACATTTGGGGAAATCGCAGGGGTCAGCACACCCGAAGTGAGCCTCGCCCTGGGAAAACCACTTTCTTGATCATGGTATTTCCTCTGCCAGGTATACAAATTTAACAATCTTTTAAAAGCTCAAGAAGGAAATTCTGAAATTATTTATAAGAAATGTATATTCTTTGAGTATAATTAACAAATATCTTGAAAAATAATTTGGAAAGCTGTTGAATTTAATTTAATAGATTTAGTAAAGTAGTTGTGTTATTAACTGATTCTTCACTTATCTATTTGTGAGGACATCTGACCTACTTTGGACACTACTGGACTCTGCGGAGGATGTGGTTACTGCAGACTATACCACAAAACAGGGTTCAGTAGAAGCTTCTGGCTTGAATGATGTTAGATTAGAAGCTAAGACAAGTTGATAGAACTGGAAATGGAGAAAGACCTTGGAAAAGATAATGCTTTTCATTCCAAGCGTTCCAAAAATTCCTGGGGACTAAAGGCACTATGGGATTAACAATGGTGGTGCAAAATGGTTAAGTAATTCAGCTGCTAACAAAAATGTTGGCAGTTAAAGTCCACCCATAGCCACGTTAGAACAAAGTCCTGGAGATATGTTTCCTAAAACTCAGTCAGCAAAAAATCCTGTGAAGCATAGGGCTACTCTGATGCATATCGGGTCACCATGAGTTAGTATTGACATGAAGGCAATTGATAATGACAGCCATTTTACAAGTCCTAGTGGTAAGAATCTGCAGTGCAGTCCTGAATGCATGCGGTTCAATTCCACCAGCTGCACCGTGGTAGACAAACGGGCAATCTCTTCCTGTGCAATTACTGCTTCTGAAAGCTTGCTGGAGGGTCAGCTATGTGTCACTTCAGACTCAATGGTACTCAACAATAATTAGGGAGCTCTGATGGCCTAGTGAAAAAAGGAGCTGTATTTTCAACTCAAAGGCACATGATTCAAGTCTACCAATAGCAAACAGGAGAAAAATGGGCAGTCTCCTCCAATGTGATTTAGACCCTCTGAAAACCCACAGGAGGGTCAACTAGGAGGGGGTTCAGACTCAATAGTACATAACGACAAGTAATGCTCTCAGAAACATAGCAAAGAACACCAAAACAAAGTTCCTCTGTGACCCGATACTGGTTGACTCGGCTTGAAATCGGCAGGAAATTCCAGTCTCAGAGCAACGACTCAACTCTTGTCTGTTTCTCTGACCTGCATGAATGAATGTGGGACAGCCAGGTTGGTCTTTGCCTCCATTGACAAAGTAGTCCACATGTCCAACAGGAATCCGGATACCCAAATCTGAAAAGAGGGAAGTCTTGTTAGCTTCTTACTTCAGGTCAAGTTTTCCAGGTCCCTCAGAACAGCCCACTAGCCACAGAGCCTGAGGCTTGACCTTGGGAGCCCACCTACTTCCTGTGCTTACAGGGTGCTGCCCTCACTCCTAAGTATTATGAGGCTTGAGATCTAGCTCTGCTTCCTAAAAGAACCTTCCCATGCTTAACGGAAGCCAAGAAGAAGGAATCAATCCTTCTTGAGTATCAATAGGGAGATACTCTTGCTAATAAATTTAAGAAGAAAAAAATAATAACCCCAACCCTACCACAAATCTTTTTGAATCAGTAAATGTAAGTTTAGTAAATGTAGTTGTATAATGAATGTTAAATTTATTTATCTATCTATCTATCTTAGCACTTGTTCAGATAAATATCTTAGGCCTCCTTTCTGTAGTCTCCCATACGTATATTTTTGTCCTCCTCTGGCCGAGAAGCTCTATGACCTGGGTTAAGCTATGAGGCTGAGAGAGAATGTGCAGCCCTCGTTTCATCATTATGAACAGTTCTCTGCAGATGCTGTAAACGGGCATGCCTGACTCCTTTGAATGGATCAGGCCCAGCTGTTAAAGACGTTGATTTTTATTTTCTTCTTCATATCATCTATCACACTTGCAAGTAACTGGTTATTAATTTGCTTAACATCACCCAGTTGGTGACAGCAATAACTTAGATGTAATCCTTGATTTCTTCTTGCTCCCAGATCCCTACATTCAGCCTGTGATGAATTTCATCAACTTTTCATCGAAATTATTTTTAATCTACCTTTTTTTAGTCTCTGCAGCTAGCTTCTTTGCCAAAGCCATCATCCTCTCTAACTGGTCTCCACTCTTTACTTTCCTACATCCTATTTTCTTCACAGCAACAAACGGTTATTTCTTTTTTATTTTTTAAGTATGTAGATTTGGGGAGCTCTGGTGGCCTAGTGGCAAGAAGCTGCACTGCATTCCCCGAGGTATGTGGTTGGAATCCACCGTGTTCTTTGCTGGAAAAGGAGGGACAATCTCCTTCTGTACTAGTCCGATCTGATTTTACAGTACACGTACAAAAAATAATAATTTTTTAAAAGAATATAGATTTGATATTTTATTATCTTTTGAAAAACATACATAACACAAGATATGTTAATTCAATATAATCTTTGCTAAATTCCCCATCACCATGAACACTCACTGCTTTCCAAACAATGGTGTCCCCTTTCCTCTTTCTATTCTGTCTCTAGTAACCACCACTAAACTTTGTTCTATGGGTATTTTCCTATTCTACGTATTTCAGAAGCATCAAGGAATGAATCTCCTTCATAGGGTGGCTATGAGTCGCCTGCAACTCGACAGCACTTAACAACAACATGTATTTCAGATAGGCGAGGTAGTAGGGTATTTGTCCTTTCATGATGGATTCATATAGGTTTTCAAAGTTTATCTGTGTTGTAATGTGGAAAAGAGCTTCATTTCTATTGCCAGACTAAGTTGTTGGGGATTTTTGTTTTTTGCCCCAAAAGCATTTCTCTGCTCCCATTGGTCTGAGAACAAAGTTTAAACTCTTTGTCATGGCCAGTCTAGAAAAGAACCCACCGTGCTCACCAACCTCATTCAGTGCCTTTTCCTCTCTTCACTGAACTCTAATTACTTGGTTCTCTTTCCTATCTTTAGAACAAGTCTTTACTCAAGTCTAGATCTTCAAGGTTCCTATGAATTTGAATCAATTCAATGACTGTGGGTTTGGCTCCACCAGAATGCTCTTCCAAAATCTGGCTTATTCTCATTTCCAGAGTCTCAATTCACATATCACCTCTTAGGACAAACTTTTCACAATATTTTTTTTTTTTTTACCAACAGATAGTCAACTTATTAAAATAGTTGATTTAGGCATCTGCAATGGTGACTTCAACCTCTACTCCAAGCTCAATGCTGATGGAGGTAATCTGCTTGACAATCTCAGAAGGGCTGTGCAAGTCAATGAGTCGTTTGTGGATCCTCAACTGGAAATGATCCCAGGTCTTGGAAGCTTTCTTCCCACAAGGAGTCTTCCTTGTAGTGATTCTCAGGTCTTGGAATCCTAACCGGTCCCTTCACCTTCAGGTTCTTCTCCTTTGTGCCTCTGATCAAGTCATCACACATATCCTGGGATTTTATGTTGTAGCTGGTTAGGGTAATCCTAATCCGGTGACTGGCCATCTCCAGTTCCACAGGCGTCTTTCTGGTGTCCTTAAAAGCCATGGCTGCGGTGCAGCTTGCTGACTGACTTGTTTCCCAAGGAGAGCAAACAGCAGTGAGTCAGGAGTGGGAGCAGGCGAGGAAAGCATGCCTGCAGGAGCGACTGCATCTTTCTCAGAGAGCTTCACAGTAATCTTATCTGAAGATGGCATTAGTCCAATTCAATCTGTATCACATGACCTTATTTATAGACCTCAAAATAGCAATATCCACATTGGGTAATTACCATGTCTGCTGTACACAATCTCTTCCCATGCAGTTAACCTCCTCTGATAATTGGCTGGAAGGTCAACTACGGGCAGGTGCCAACTCAAAAGTACACAACACCAACACCAACAATAACACTCTCTATTTTATTAGTAGGTAAAGGTCACAATAACTAGTACTTTGCCTGTTGTTTTATTTTCTTATGCTATATTTTGTAGTTTTATCAAACAATATCATTGATATCACATGCAAGCCAGACTCTGCTGAAGATTATCCAAAAACGACTGGAACAGCACATCAACTGAGAACTTCCTGAAGCGCAAGCTGGATTTAGAAGAGGCTGTGGTACTAGGGATATTATAGCTAATGTTAGATGTATCTTGGCTGAAAGCAGGGAATACCAGAGGAGTACCTATCTGTGTTTCATTGACTCTGAAAAGGCATTTGACTGTGTGGATCACAACAAACTGTGACTGACTGAGAAGAATGGAAATCCCAGGACACTTGATCATGCTTATATAATACCTATCCTTGGACCAGGAGGCAGTCATCAGAACAGAGCAAGGGAACACTGCATGGTTCAAAACTGGGAAGGGTGTACACCAGGGATGCATCCTATCTCCATACCTCTTCAATCTACATGCAGAACAGATCATCCGGGAGGCTAAACTCTATGATGAGAAATGTGGCATCAGGATTGGAGGAAGACTCATCAACAATCTGTGTTATGCAGATGACACAATCCTGCTTGCTGAAATTGAGGAGGACCTGCAGAAGGTCAAGGACTATAGCCTTCAGTATGAACTGAGGCTCAATATCAAGAAGACAAAGATTCTCCCCACTGGGCCAGTTGGCTGCATCATGACAGATGGTAAAGAGATTGAGATTATTAACAGCTTTAGTTTGCTTGGCTCTACAATCAACACTCTTGGTACCAGCAGTCAGGAAATTAAAAGATTAATTGCATTGGGAAAGTCTGCTGTCCAAGACTTCACCAAAGTCCTGAAGAGCAACTATGACATTCTGAAGACTAAGATGTACCTGATCCAGGCCATAGTCTTTGCAATTACTTGTTATGCATCAGAGAGCTGGACAATGACTAGGGAGGATAGAAGGAGAATTTATGCCTTTGAGCTGTGTTGCTGGAGGAGAGTATTGAATATACCACGGACTACTAGGTGAATAAACAAGGTCATCCTAGAGAGGGTGAGACCAGGCTGCTCCTTGGAGGCAAGGATTCTGAAGCTTCATCTGACATATTTGGGCATGTTACAAGGTAGGATCAGTCCTTAGAGAGGGGCATCATGCTTCGGAGGTTGGAGGGACAGCACAACAAAGGAAGACCCTCTAAGAGGTGGATTGATTCAGTAACTGGGGTAATGGGGGTAGGTGTGTCAGAGATGATAATATTGGCACAGGATAGAGAAAAGTTTAGGGCTGTTGTATATAGGGTCTCTATGAGTGACAGGTGACTTGATGGCACATAACAACAACAACAATATTTTGCAAATGAATTCCTGTTCTACAAAAATATAAGCTTCATGTGGTCAGGAATCTTATCTGCCTTATTTATAACCTTGTTCATTGAGTTATTCCCACCACATAATTTAATACATTCAGATTAAATAAACAGAATTTATTGTTTGTTACAACCACATGAGGAAAAGTTTCTAACTTTGAAGAAGTCTGGGAGATCTTGCTCAGATCTTGTAATAGAATTCTAAAAAAAAAAAAAATAACCTATTTAGAACATTTAGGAACATAAGAAATGAAGCACTTAGTTGGACAGAGAACTGTGGGCTCTGGTTATTTATCTGTGCAATGAAGCTAGAAATAGGGTTAAGAAAGTATGGTTGTGTGGGCTGATTCCGGAAAAAGGAGTCTGAGCCTAGTAGATGCTAACAAAGTTTCTGATAAAGACGTCTCTCATTTGAGCTGCAAGCTGTGGTAGGCAGGGATTGGATGGTACTTTTACACCCACTGTGTATGGAGCATCGCAGCTGACCCAGCCTCCATGAGTACTTGAATAGGATTGCCCTCACCTTTACCCAGCTGGACAGAAGGCCTTAATTTGGTCCTGATGGATTCAAAATTGAGAGTCTTTGCATTCCCCTCCATTAAGGTAGGAGCCTGGAAGCTTGAGTGGCCTAGTAGGTAAGGAGTTGCATTGCCATCCCAAAGGCAGCAGTTTGAGTTTACCACCTATACCAAGGAAGAAAGATGGGCAATCTCCTCCCATGTGATATAAAGCCTCTGAAAACCTTCTGGAGGATTAGAAATGAGTCTATTCTGACAGAACACTGTAGAAGAAGAAGATTCTCATTCTCCACTCGACAAGAGCTGAGCTGATCCTCCAAGGAAGGCCAAGGAAAGTTCCTGAGACCAGGCACCCTCCTACAGAAAGGGCTGTATGAGTCTTTTTAAGTATTAGGTAATAATGCCCTCACCACCAATTACGCACAGGTTCAGTGTTGAATCAGAGAGTGAGTGTCCCAACCAAACGTTTTGGTCAATATATGAGAAACTTCCTGCCTACTGGTGACTAAAAAGAAAACCATTCATCTCAGTGGCCTGAGAATAGCAGAGCAGGAAAGGACTTTAGAGATCATGCTGGTCAACTCTTCATTGTATAACAGAAGGTTGGAGAGGCCAGAGGGTCTGTTCTATCAACATATGAATCCCATGTGCTCCGAGACCTTATCTGCCTTTGCATGTGAACACATGGAATTTTTTATTTGTTTACCAGCCTCCCAACCCCTGTCCTCATCACACAGCAAGGTCATCCCAGCTCACTATCAGTATCTGTGTGGATGGCTTCCACGAACAGGGCATCTCCAGGATCCAGGCGCTCCTCCCAGCTGGCCCTGGTGTACTCTGGTCCCGCGGGGTCCAGGCCTGAAGGGACAAACCAGCGTCAGAGACTCCTTTCTTCTCAGCTATCAGGACCCTCAGGGACTCTCTTGATGCTCAGCATCCCTTCTCTGATGGTCCCTCCTGTTAGATCACACAGTCCCCAGTGAGGACCTGAGGGTTAAGGAACATCTTTCTCAAGAAATTCCAACCCTGTTGTCTCTTATGAGGGAATTCTGGTGGCCTAGCGTGTTAGGAATTGCACTGCTAACTCAAAAACAGATGGCTCAAATCCACTAATTGCTCTGAGCGAGAAAGTTGGGCAATCTCTTCCCGGGCAATTTACAGCTTCTGAAAACCCACTGGAGGGTCAGCTAGGAATGGGTTCTGGCTCAGCAGCACATGGCAATTATCAATCACGTTGTCTGTCTTATGAGGAAACTTCTCAATGGCCAAGTTCCTCTGCAGCAATGGCTATGATTTTTTTTTTCAGTTGTTGTATGCCAGGCACTGTGTTGGGCAGTTTTATATACATTACTTCTCATTGTCACAACACTGTGAAGTAGGTATCACTATCTAACCTTGGATTCCATTGCTCATCCTCTTCAAAATGAGCAGACTTCGAGAGAAGACATGCAGGTCTCTGGGTGGCTACAAATGGAAAAGCTGAAGTCTGGACCCACCAGAGGTGCATTGGAAGGAAGACGTGGCTATTTGGTAAAAATTTCAACCAAGAAAATCCTACAGAATTCAATTCTATTCTGTAACACACGGATTGCCATGAGTGGCAATCAATCCAACAGCAATGGGTTTGGGGTTTGTTGGGTTTGTTTTGTTTTGTTTTGATTTGAGACAAGTATATAAGTGTAAATAGTTTAGTGGAGAAAAGCTAAAAGAAAACATGGGGTGTAGAGAAATGAGTCAGAGAATGAAAAAAAAATGTTAATGAGTGGATTATCATTGTGAGCTATTGGGACGCATCTCACTGGAGCCCTTTGAGAGACTGCAGAAATCACTCACTGAAGGATCAGGAAGTTACAGTATAACTGACATTTGCCCCTGAAGCATAAATCCCCTTCAGTTTGAAAATATTTACCCGAACTCTCTCAAGATGAGTGAGCTCTGGTGGCCTTGTGGGTAACGGTTTATGCTATCAACCCAAAGGCACATGGTTCAAATCCATTAGCTGGTCCAAGGGAGAAAGATGGACAATCTCCTTCAATGCAATTTACCACCTCTAAAAACCCACTGGAGAGTAAACAATGAGTTGGTTCTGACTTGATAGCACACAACAGCAACAACTCAAGATAATTTTCACAGCAGACTAAAAAGAGATGGGCCACTACAATCCATTTTACAGATGTAGAAACTAAACTCAGAATGAACTAAGTCTTATTACTCTGATACTGTTTTTGTGGTTGGTTGCCATCAGTTGAGCACCATGAACAAAAGGCCTGAAACCTTTCTGTAACTCTTGACATTTATCAAAGTTCATAGTTTCTAGAGGCATGTTGTTTAGGAAGTAGATGCCACTCCTGCTTCCAAACTCTGAAAATAGAGACATAATAATAGCACAATACTATTTTACACAAAAGACCAAAATTAAAAAAAAATCTAAGTGGCAATAAATTACTCCATCATGAGAACAAAGGTTAAATCAATCATCCTTACTCCCCTTGCCTCAGGATACTTCCACGTCTATTCCTATCTTTAAACCCCAGAAGTATAAGTAAGGAAGAGTGTTACCTGTTATTCTCCCCAGTTGGCCTCTGTGGAATTGTCCCACCATGCCCCCAACGTGGGCCCCCAGGCTAACACCAATGATGTGGATTGAAGACTTGGACACACCCAGCTCCTAGAACAAGGCATCTACCATGAGTTCCACTGAAGTCACAGCAATCCCTGGCCTCACAGCTTCATACTTTTCTCTAAGGACAGTACCCTGGGTGAGAACACACCCACCCCATACACTTCAGATCCTAGAGCAGAATGCTTACCCAATTAACCACTCACCTTCTAAATGGTCTCTCCCATTGATAATCCCCTAACTTTCCCTCTAATGCCTGGAATTCATGAGTAAGAGTTGTGCTGTTCCCTCTTGAGAGATTCTGATATGCTGAAGAATAATTCTCACTAACTGCTCCTAATGTCAAGTGGCACATCTCACCCAGAAGGAACCTGAGGCTCAGATCTCAAATACCCTGCCCAACATAGAACTGTAAGTGGCACTTGGATCAGAAACCAGCATCTCTAAATAAAATCTCTGGGTGGCTCTGGTCCTACCCAAAACTCCCCTTCTGTGTTGCATTTCCTTCCTAACACCTCTCCTCCACGAGTAGCCACATCCCACCATGAGCTCCTCCACACTTACCAAGACTTGACCGAGGAATCTGGAGATCTCCAGGCTCACCTTAACCACATTTTCTACAACTGAGAAGTAGAAGCCCGTCGAGGCATAAACCCAGTCCACAGCTATCACATTAGAGTTGGTTGTGCGCAGAAGGGTTCTAATGAATTTATCAATCCAGGATGGCTTTGATCCTAAAGCTCTAAACATGAGGCAAAAATGATAAGGAAATTACCTGCCACACTGACATCATCCCTTGTCATGGAAACCTCTATTAACTCTAAGAGCAGAAATTATCCCAGAATGAGGGAAGAATGTATTATTAATTAAATTGTGCATCCTCAAGTATCTGTCAGAAGGGAAGCTCTGGTGGCCTACAGGTGAGACACTGCACTACAATTCTGAAGGTATGCAGCATGAATCCACGAGTTTCTCAGAGGGAGAAAAATGAACAATCTCCTCCTGCACGATTTCACTCACTCATGGCCATGAAGGCAAAATGAACTCATAGATGACCCTTAAATGGGTTTTCAGCAGCTATAAATCTCACAGGAGGGGATTGCCCATTTTTCTCCTATGTGATTTATAGCCTCCAAAAACCCACTGGAGGGTCAGTTATTAGTCAGTGTCAGTAAACTGTTTTGCATTGAAACTATCAGACAAAACATTTGTTGGTTAAATTCAATAATTTGTGTGTAGTGAATCATATAGTACTCAGAGAATAGAATGGATGTTATCCCAAAGTTACCAGGACTTATGTTAGCACATGTGAAGTCTCACAATAATTCATCCAAAGATGTCTCTTTGATCCAAGTAGATGTAGCCTACCTAATGCCAGGGTTCATAATTCAAAATATATTTGAACCCAACCAGCTTTTAGTCAAGTGTATTTGTGCAATGTATATCCTACCCAAACTGTATCTGCTGACCCTGCTTATGCTTGTGGAATAGAAAAGCGTTACATCATGAAGTTAAAACATTCACAATTCCAATATTTTCTATAAATGATTAAGCTCTGGTGGCCTAGTAGCAAGAAGTTGTGCTGCAGTCCCAAAGGCAGGAGGTTCAAGGCTACCATACAGCTGCTATGCAAGAGAAGGATGGGCAATCTCCTCCTGTGTGATTAAATGCCGTTCAAAACCCATTGGAGGATTAGCTATGGGTCAGTTCTAACTCTGTGGTACACAACAACATCTCCATAATTTAACCTCTTTACTTGAAGATGTTTTCATTCACCCACTCATTGATACATCAAACATTTCTTGAATATCTAAGGGTCAGGCAGTTTGCTGTGGTTGTTATTGTTAGTTTCCATTGAATCAAAGTTATTCACTCATGGTGACCCCATCTGTACAGAGTAGAACTGCTTTGTGGAGTCTTCTAGGCTGTGACCTTTCTGATTCAGACTGCTAGGTCTGTTTTCCAAGGGGCTTTTAGATGGATTCAAACCACTAACCTTTCTTCTAGTATTTGAGCACTTGACTATCTGTGTCACCCAGGGATGCTTTATAAGAAATGAAGACATGCTGACCGTACTCTTAGGGGACATCAAGGTCAATTGGCAGACAACGTTTTACATCCTACTTTAGTGAATAGTGACTTGAGTCTTCAAAGCTTGTGAGAACTCAACTAAGGTACAACCACTAGTCTTTCCCCGGCTGTAACAAAAAAGAAGGAAGAGGAATAAAGATTCACAGAATTAATTAGTCCAAAGACACAAATGAACTATTTGAACCTCAAATTCAGTGACCCTGAGACCAGAACAAGATAGTGCCACGCTACCAATGCTGATCATTCTGAACGGGATCAAAATAGACAATGTATACGAAATTTGTAGGTAAACCAGAATAAAATTTTAAAAACACAAAGAATTTTAAAATAAATAGATTAATAAAAAAGTTTTAAAAAATAGAATGTAGGCTGAGGGGAAACGTGGAATGAAATTTAAAAACAGGAGTGTGGCTAGGCTTACTAGTCTGGTGGAGACTGGTAGACCTCCTATGACTACATCCTTCGGTCACCCTAGGACATGGAGTAAAATTCACCCCTGATGCTCAACGTTCAGTCAAATACTTTGCCAGTGAGGAGACTAGAAACACCGGGGAAGCAATAGTTTCTTAGAACAATCAATTATGTGGGATCAAAAGTACAGCATTTGCTTAGGGTTAAAGTTCAGAAGGCTGGAAGAAACAGGATAGAAAGTTTAATGGAAATGAGAATCTCAAGAAAGAAGTGGGAAAAATATGGTTTCATGTTGTGTATAGTAATTGATAAAATTGAGAGAGAGAGAGAGAGAAGAAAGATATGTTAAAACCAATGCCATGGGATAATCTTTAACCTTAAACTAAAAGTATCCCCTGAAGTCTTCTTAAAACCAAACAAGTTAAGTTTCATTTAACTAGGAAAGAATGAGAGAGCTTTAGGGGCAGAATCTGTAAGGACTTGTGCTGCTAAACCAGAGGCCAAACCTCTCTGGTGGCTTAAATCTAATAGCAGCTCCTTAGAAGAAAGATGGACAGTCTCCTTTCTGGTGATTTATAGTCTTGTGGATCCAGTGAAGGGTCAGTTATGAGGTGGTTCAGCAATGAGTTGAATGGGTACTGGATGTATCGAATATTATGCTTTTTAAAGAGCTGCCTATATGTGATCAAATGGATAACTACAACTAAAAGATTGGCTAAGCACCTTATGGTGCAATGAGTTTACGTTAATGGAGGCAAACAACTCAGAAAAATAGGGTTAGAGTAGTTACACAGTTTAAAGAATCCACATTGCCAAATTCTATAGATAGAAACTGTCGGATTGGTCTATATGTTGTTGTATATATATTCTCAACAAGAGACATTTTAAAAATAAATAAATACATAACAATATATAAATATTAAATAGGATAAATGTTCGGATTCTTTAAAATGATAAATAAGATACCTTTATGTATCTTATTTACTTTATCTTAAATATCTCTAGCTTTTTGGAATTAACAATATAATATCTTTAGATATTATCTGATAAACTCACAAGAATATACAAGAATATGTCTTATTTATCTCTATCTTTTTAAAATTCACTATATAATGGGAATTTTGCGGGAACAGAGTAACAATAAAAACATTCAAGCTTTCCCAACAGACGAGGGGCTCAGAAAAGATGTTATCACATGACTCAGAGTATGGAGACACTCAGTGTATTAAGTGTAGCCCATGGACAGAGGAGTTCAAACTGGGCCTGAGCCACAGAACATGACTTGGGGGAGTTTGGGTTTAAGAAGCAAACAGAGTGATTGTCCTGACAACATCTCCAGGTTTATTAGCTATTTCTGGGTTAGGAGAGATTACTTGGCCATGGGTAGAGGTTAAATCTAAGACTTCTAGAAAAGAGATTTGGCTAAAGGAAGCATGTCTACTGAAGTGTGTGACTAGATTCCTGTAGTTCAAAAGTTTGAGTGGGGAAGATTATCCAGAAATCAGACAAGGTGACCCTCTGTGACTTTGTTTTTACCTCATCGTAAGATGCACAATGGCATTTGCTCTGTGTTGTTATGTGCAATTAAGTAGGAGTTAACTCTTAGCTTGAGAGTCCTCCAATGGGTCTTCAGAGGCTTTAAATTGCACAGGAGGAAATTGCTTATCTTTCTCCTGTGCAACAGTTAGTGGATTCGAACCTCCTGCCTTTATATTTGCAGTACAACCCTTTACCCAGTAGGCCACCAAAGTTCCCCATTTGCTCTGTAGTGTTGCTGTTTTACCACATTCCCATCTTTTCCTGCAAGTTTTGTTCACAGTCTTCTCAGTAGGCTTTAGACAGAAGATATTGAATGGAGGGATGGTGGTTAAATTGAGGTTCAATGACCACATATTTTTAAAAACACGCCAGAACGTAGTATTCCACAGACATAGTTCATTAGAGAAATTGTAGAAGGAAAATGCCAAGCTTCTTTGGAACACAAATCTTTTTGGATCTGACAAATGAGGCCTCAGTTCCTTAGATCATAAAACCAGGGAAGAAATGAAGAAGAGAGGAAATAAAATCTTGGTTGAAAACACCAGGCTGGTACACATGATCACATTGACTGAGATGGGTCATTCAATCAGTCATACTTTAGGGAGAAAATGACTACAGTGACTATTTCTACAATCCTGCCTTCCTTTCTTTAGATAGGGAAATTGTAGTTCCAAGGACTTGAGTGGCTTGTTTGAATTCACACATATTTACTGCTTTATAAATGAGTAGACAAGATTGAGTGGGGGAGTCAACAACATCAGATATGAGACACCATCCAACATAGCAGGAGGTGAAAGATAGAGCTTCCCTTCCCTCCCCCTCCCCTTCTCTCCCCTCCCCTTCGCTCCCTTCCTCTTCCCTCCCCTTCCCCTCTTTCCCCTTTGGTCAGTAAATCCTCTGACTCCTCACGCTTCTAGAGTTTAACTGAGGACTAGGTTAAGTTTATGGTTGTGCTTTAGTCTTTAAGAGACCCCACTGGTTGGTTTGCTCTCACCTGAAACCATGGATAAGCAGTTTTGTTTCCAGAGAAGTGTTGAACCCAGAGTTCTGAAGGTCACTGCCTTCTTCCACTCTCTGCCCACAGCTAGGATTGGAATGGGTAAAGAGGAGAAATTGGATTTTGAGAGTGGTGCCTCGGAGGAAACTGGCATTCTGGAAGTCAGCACATTTTTGTTCCAGGGTAGGAAGTATGTCCCCTGTGGGGGGGAAAAAACCCAAGAAATATCCAAGGTGAGGTCATATCTTCTTTGATTAGAATACAGATCTCCTTTTATTAGAATCAAGACATATAGGCAAGAGTCTTACAATTCATCTATTAATATACTACTCTGACATTTCTCTGTTAACGATGGCATCATTTATACAAATCAAAGCCTATGACTAAAAAATCCCCCAAAATAAACCACAAACAAAAACCTATGACTATGTGTCATATCTATAAATAAAATACTAAATACCTATTCCACAATCTTACAGTACTTTAACAAGAGACTAAAGCCTTCAATATGGGTTACATCTCAAAATCAAGAAGACAAAAATCCTAACCACTGAACTGATAGGCAACATCATGTTAGATGGAGAAAAGATTGAAATTGTCAACTATTTAATCTTATATGATTCCACAATCAATACCCTCGGCACCAGTAGTCAGACATAATGCATTAGGAATGTCTGCTGTTAGGGACCTCTTCAAATTACTGAAAAGTAATGATGTCCGTTTAAAAACCAAGAAGCCATGGTCTTTTCAATCACTTGCTATGCATCTGAAAGCTGGACAATGAATAAGAATGACAGAAGAATTGATGCCTTTGTGCTGTGATGTTGAAGAAGAGTACCGAATATCTCAGGGAATGCCAAAAGAACAAACAAGTCTGTCTTGGAGATAGTGTAGCCAGTGTGTTCTTTAGAGGTGGTGAAGCTTCATCTCTCATAATTTAGGAGTATTGTTAGGAGAGATGCTTCCTTGGAAAGGGATACCATGCTTGGAAAAGGATATCGTGCTTGGAAAGGTGGAGGGTTGGTGAAAGAGAAGAACCTCGAAGAGATGGATTGACACAGTAATAGGTTCAGTATGTCAGAGATGATGAGGACTGCACAGGACTAGCCAAAGTTCATGTTCACAGAGTCACTCTGAGTTGTGCTCGACTCACAGGCATCTAACAACTAAAAATAGATGCTTCTGTTTCTCTGGCAGATGAACCCTGACTTATCTATAACACTCATATATCTACTCTTTTGATAAACCTGACTCTCAGTGCAGAGAAAACCTTGCAAGAGCAGTAGGACACACATTAACCTTCAGCACACAGTTTAGTCTCAATGCTGTTGGCAGCTACTAAACATTGTCATGTTGTTGTTGTTACATGCCATTGAGTTGAGTAAGACTCAAAATCACCCTATGAACAACAGATCTGACCCTTGTCCTTTCCTGTGCCATCCTCACAATTTCTGGCACACTCAAGCCCACTGCTATAGTCATTGTATCAACCCACCTGGTTGAGGATCTTCTTCTCTTTTACTGTCCCTCTACCTTCCCTAGGACGATGTCTGTCTCCAAGTAATTACCTCTCCTAGCAACATATTCAAAGTATGTGAGATGAAGTGTCATCTCTTTACATCTAAAGAGCATTCTGGTTACCCCTTGTCCAAGACATATCTGTTTGCTCTTTTGGCAGTCCTTGGGATATTCAGCACTTGTCTCTAAAACTATAGTTCAAAGTCATCAATTCTTCTGTCATCCTTAGTCATTATCCAGCTCTCAGATACATCACAAGTGATTGAAAAATAGGACAGAACCCCAATAAGAATAGCATAATTTAACAGAACAGCAAGCAACAAATGCTGATGAGGTTGTGAAGAAACTGAAACACTTATTCACTGTTGGTGGAAGTGTAAAATGGTGCAACCATTGTGGAAAGTGGTGTAGCACTTTCTCAAAAAGTTGCAAATAGAGATACCATTTGACCCAGCAATTCCACTACTGGGAATATACCCCAAAGAGACCATAACCAACATCCAAGCTGATATATGCACATCCATGTTTATCGCGCCTTTGTTCACAATAGCAAGGAGCTGGAAACAATCTAAGTGCCCATCAACAAAACGAATGGATAGAGAAGCTGTGGCATATTCACACAATGGTATACTGCATTGAAAAATAAGGAACTCATGCAATGTTATTCAAAATGGATGATCCTGGTGGACATTATGCTGAGTGAAATATCTCGGTAGCAAAAGGACAAATACTGCATGGTGCCACTGTTGTAGAATGGGACTGACATCAGGGTTGGGGTAAGACTGAGAAAAATGGGATAAATTATGTACTGAATTGAAACAGATAAGGGAGAGAAGAGTTTAAAAGCGACATATGGTAGGATATTATAGTTATCACAAGAATCCAGAATGAAGGTTGTATAGTGGAGTGTACTGGTTCAGGGAGTGTACTGGTGGGTGATTGTGAGGTGGGGGGATTGTATATCAATGAAGAAATTTTACTTTTCAAAGAGATGAGCGAGCTGGGGGGAGGAGTGGGCAGGGAGAAAAGTGCAGCAATGATTGAATGGAAATCCAAAATTTCTGTAAGTGTTCATTAAAATTAATTAAAAAAAAAAAAGAAATGAGGCCCTTAATAAAACCATTGAATTGGGAATCTAGGAAAAAAGAAAAAGAAAAATAGGACAGAGCTCTTCACAGAATCATTAAGATTACAGTGTCATACTTTGGACCCAGGAGATGACCACATTGTAGACTTTGGCTTGTGCTCTATCAAGGCCCCATCAAAGAGGAAGATAGCAATTTAAATTTCTGAAACAGTTCTCTGCCTTAAGTGGTAGCTGAGAAACATGTACACAAGGGTGTGGCTCTGGGATGCACAGGGCTCTAGGGAGAGAGAGGACGTAGGAACCTCACACTTTGGGGCCACACCACAAGTTGAGGCCTTGCAAAATGTAACTGAGGTAAAGTTCTTAATATTAATGTTCTGAGCCCAGACCTTATCACCAAGTCCCTTGCTTGCTCCTTCTGAGTGGCAGGTCTGAACTTCCTGTGTCACTCTGAGTGTGTAGCCTGCCTTTGCCCCTCTGGCTGCAATTTGTGCCCCTAGAGTACATGGAGAGAGATATCTAATCAGAGGTGTATCCATGGCCATTAGTTTTAAAATGCTGAATGTTCCACCCTATGATGTTATCCTTACCCATCCTCACCCCTCTCCTCCCACCACTTCCCTCTAAGGCCCTCCTAGATATTTTCCTAGTTATCCTTCTATTTTTACAATAATGGTCTTATGCAGTATTTGTCCTTATGAGACTAAGTTAGTTTACTGAGCATAATGCTCTCCAGTCCCTCCTATGTTATATAGTGATTTTTAAAATCTTTGCTCCTGAGTGCTGCATAATATTTTGTTGTGTGGATATACCAGAATTTCTCAATCTATTCAGTTGTGGTTGGACATTTGGGTTGTCTTCATGTTTCTGCAACGATAAATAATGCTACTATTTGGTGAGTGAAAGATCCGGCAGGGACCAGAAAACACAGGGCAATGGTGGGCATAGTCCAATGATGATGATTAATTTCATGAAACACAATGTATGGGAATGGTTGTATGACATGATGTCAGTGAAGGAAAGTGTGGAGGGAAATACGCAATTAAAAAAATATTATAAAAATAAGTTGAATGTTCTCTCACAGTTGGCAGGAGGAACCACAATGATCAGGAGAAACCGCTCAGAGTTCCCACTTTAAGTGGTGACCTGGGCACGTGTAATGCCTGCCACTTGTTAGTCTGTTAGTCCACTACCTCATGGCTTCTTCCACCTTTGGATTTTCTATCTTTCTCTATTTTTTATGAAGTGAAATTTGTGTAACAAAATTAGCCATTATAAAGTGACTAATTCAGTGCCATCTAGTACTGTCACAATGTTCTACAATCACCACCACCTCTATTTAGTTCCAAAAATTCCACACACTCAAGTAAAATCTCTTATTTATTCTCTCCATCTTCCCTAGCTCTTAGCAACCACTATTCTACTTCCTTTCTCTATGGTTTTAACCACTGTGAATATTTCATACAAGTGGGATCATACTATATGATCTGCTGCGCCTCATTTCTTTCACCTAACATAATGCTTTTCAGGTTCATCCACATTGGAGCACATATTAATGTTTTATTCCTATTTTGTGAGTGAATTTTACCCCATTGCAATGTATATGCCATAATTTATTTTCCCATTCATCCATTAATGGATGTTTGGGCTATTTCTAGGTTTGGCCTATTGTGACTAGGGACTCTATAAACACGAGTGGACACATATTTGTGTGAACACTTGTCTTGATTTCATTCATGTATGCTGAGGAGCACAATTGCTGGGCCATATGGTCATTCTGTGCTGAACTTTTTAACCCTAAGTACCAGCTAAGCTGTTTTGCATAGTGGCACAGTGTGCTTGTTTCTCTATCTCGTCACCAACACTTGACATTATTTATTTATTGTTGTTGTTGTTGGCATCCCAGTGGGTGTGAGGTCAGCCTGTAGATTTTTAAAGAAAGAATGAAAGTATCTATTTGTGGGTACATGTGTCTGAATTCAGGTTCTTCCTGTGCAGGGAACAGGTCCCCAAGTGACAGATAGTGGATTACCAACATTCAGCTTGTATTTCTGGGTCTTCCTCATTCTTTGCTGAGATGTGAAAGGCAGACAATCTGTAAAGCTAGCCATGACTCAGAATCTACCTCCCCCCCCCACACACACACACTCTCATACACACTTCTATTCTCACTCTTAGAGCAGTGCTGGGTGCCCCAATCTGCTTACTTCTACAGAACCACCACATTCTGCTAATGTGAAGACACTTTCCTTTGCTCATTTTCTCCCAGCTCTACCATATTCTATCCTCTCCCCTTCCAGGTCCTGGGCCCTGGGCAAAGGAACTGATGCCAGCATGACCCTGGCATTCATGTGGCACTGAGTTCTCTCCTCATGGCTCCATCAAGCCCCTGCCACTGATTTTCAGTCCCATGTTTCTGCCTCAAAGCTTAGATGTGAGTCTTTTATATTTTTGTCAAGGATATTTTAAATGACATTTTTAGTTAATAATAAACATAATTTTTCAAAAACTGCATGTCTCAGATAAAGACAAAAAAAGATTGTCTCACCACATTTAATCCTAGTTCTTAACTTAGATAACAACCGATAGTAGGATATATATATATTTTTTTTTTAAAGTTGCCCTCTCCAGAAGAGAACTCTGGCACTTTGAGATGAGAAAACCAATCAAAAGGAATATATATATAAAATGTAAAATAATGTAATGAGAAGTACTGAGGACTAAAATGAAGTGAGAGAGGCAAGCTATTCAATTGTATAGTTGTTGTTGATGACCCATAGTTGACCTATGAAAAAGGTAGAGGGTCAACTTGCACAGGAGGAGATTGTCCATCTTTTTTTACTAAGGAGCAAGTGAGTGGATGCAAACCTCCTGCTTTTGGATTCGGTAACACAACTCCCTACCACTATGTCACCAGAGCTCCCTGACAGATACGTTAAAGGATCCCAAGAATGTAAATGACACAAAACTCACAAAAAACCAAGTTTATGGAATAGAAATGATCAAGAATAAAACATATAGAGAATGTAATAAATGAGAAAATACAAAAACGAGGGTAAGACGTTTGTGTGACAAGTTGAGGTGGCCTCACAGCGTATTCGAATTTTAGCATAGAAAATGGCAAGAAGACAACATTTTAAAAGGTTAAAACTTCACAAGAATGAAGTGGAAATAAAACTTAGCACAAATATTTTCTAAAAAAAATATAAAAGGTAAAAGCTGTCAGTTGTGGTGTTGGCAAAAAGTATTGTATATCCCATGAACTGCCAAAGGAACAAACAAATCAGTATTAGAAGAAGCACTATCTTTGAAGGCAAGGATTGTGAGGCTGTGTCTCATATTTTGGGCATCTTCTCAGGAGATGACAATCCTTGAGAAAAGACAGCATACTTGAAAAAGTAGATTAGCAAAAGAGAGGAAGTCTCAGTGATATAGTCTGACACAGTGACAGCAACAAGGACTTGAATGTCACAGAGATTATGAGGGTGGCTCAGGGATAGGGCAAGATTTCAGTGTGTTGTTCAGAGGATTACTATGTGTAGGAGTTGACTCAGCAGCATCTCACAACAAAAGATACTGGAAACCAGGATAACTTGTTGTTCATCTCATTGAAAGTTTCATAACATTCCTAAAAGGTAAGTCTTATTTGTCTTTTCCAGGTGAGAAAACCAAGGATTCAGAGATAATAAAGAATCTTTTTCAAATCAAAAGGAGATAGACATTAAGTTTAGATTTTCATTTTCTAGACATCTGCATCCAGAATTGAGACTCTAAAACATTCTGATACATCAGCTGAGAACTTTGTAGAATACAAGGATATTCATTTCTATAACGAGTCAATGGACGAGATATAAGGAAATAAATCTTGCTACCTGGTAATATAAAGAGAGCTCTGATGGCCTAGTGAGTAAGGAGTTGTTTTATTTATTTATTTATTTATTTATTTGTTTGTTTGTTTGTTTGTTTGTTTGTTTGTTTTTTGAATTTTATTATTGAAATACGTGAGTAAGGAGTTGTGCCATCAACTCAAAGGCACTTAAGTCGAAGCCACCTGCTGCTCCATGAAAGAAAGATGGACGATTTCCTCCCACATGATTTACTGTCTCTGAAAACTCTCTGGAGGGTCAACTGTGAGTCTCTTGTTTTGGGTGGTTGTTTTGTTTTGTTTTAATTAATTTTAATAAAAGTTTACAGAGACTTAGGATTTCCAGTCATTCATTGTTGCACTTTTCTCCCTACCCATCCCCTCTTCCCCAATTCACTCTTCTCCTTGAAAAGGATAAGAAAACCTCTTTCATTGTTATGCAATCCCTCCCCCAAGTCCACTCCACTATGCAGCCTTTACTCTGGACTCCTGTCATGACAAGAATACCCATTCACATGTCCCTTTTAAACAGTTCTCTCCCTCATCTGTTTCAATGCAGTATACAGCATTCCACCCATCCTTTTCTGTCTTCCCTCAACCCTCATCTCAGTCACGTTTTACAACAGTGACCCTATGCAATATTTATCCTTTTGTAACTGAGATATTTCACTCAGCACAATGTCCTCCAGGGTCATCCATTTTGCATATTTCATGAATTCCTTGTTTTTCAATGCTGCATAGCATTGTGTAGTGTGAACATACCAGAGCTTCTCTATTCATTCATTTGTTGATGGGTATGACTCTGTTTTGATTCGATGGTCCATACAAAAAAATGAAGAATGAGAAAATTTATGAAACAACTGCAAAAGAGCTGATGGCAGAAAAAGGAAAAGAATTTTAAAATGATAATTTAGTTCCCATTTGAACTGTCATCCAAGAATAATCAGGGGTGAATAAGCAAAATACTTCTGAGAAACAAAAATGAAGTAGGAGGTATAGCACTCCCTGACCTCAAAACCTACTACACAGTGGGAGTAACCAAAACAGCACATTACTGGTACAATGACAGGCACATAGATCAGTGGAACAGAATTGAGAACCCAGAAATAGACCCAACTATCTATGGTCAAATGATATTCGACAAGAAAATAAAACGTATCAAATGGGGAAATGACACTCTCTTCAACAAATGGTATTAGTGGTATTAGCAAAACTGGACCTGCAGGAAACTGAAACAGGATCCATATCTTACACCACGCACAAAAATCACCCCAAGGTGGATAAGAGACTTGAGAGTAAAGCCCCAAACCATAAAGTTCATAAGAGACCAAACTTAGCAGCCCTAGTTTACAGTATAAAGACTCTGCAAAATATAGCCAGAAATGTACAATCTGAAGAGGATAAAATTGATGAATGAGACCTTCTAAAAATTAAATCCCTGTGTTCATCAAAAACTTTTTCCAACAGGGTGAAAAGAAAACCTGCTGACTGAGGACAAACACTTGGCAATACCATCTCAGACAAGAGTCTCAAAATGAAAGTTTAGAGAATACTCCTGGGCCTCCACAAGAAAAAAGTCAGATAACCCAATTACAAAATGGGCAGAAAACATGGAAAAAAATTTTACAAAGAAAGATATTCAAATGGGCAACAGACTTATGAAGAAATGTTTCTAATCACGGGAAATAAGAGAGATGCAAATCAAAATCACAATGAGATACCATTTCATTCTAGTAGCAGTGGCAAAGTTTAACAGGACAGCAAGTATTAAATGAGAGGATGTGATGAGATAGGAACTCTGTTACATTGTTGTTGGGGCTGTACAATGGTAAAGGCAGTTTGGCATGTCCTCAAAAAACTGAACATAAAAATTCCATATGACCCAGTTATTCCATTGCTTGGAATATACCCCCAAGAAAATGAGATCTGAGGCTCAAATGGAAACTTGTACACAAATGTTCATAGCAACATTATTAGCCATCGCAAGAACATGGAAACCGTTCATATGTCCAGCCATAAACAAATGGACTGAGAAGTTGTAACACATATACTACGCAGCATGCAGGAACAATGATTCTGTAAATTATGACCTAATTTGGGAGGGACTTGAGAGCATTATGCCGAGTGAACTAACTCAGTCCCACAAGAACAAATGCTGTATAAAACCATTATAGTAGAATGAGTATGGGGATCCAAGGTGGGAGGGTGGAAATAAAAGGGTGAGGAGGTGGGAGGGGGAGAGTGTTAATCATTGGGTTGCACAACTTGATGGGTGGGATGAAGGAAATGGGAAGGATCTTTTGTGAAAAACAATGTATTCAAACTGTAAATAAAACAGAATAAAATAAAGAAAAATAACCCTCACCACTGGACTGATAGTCAATAATGATAGATGGAGATAAGATTGAAACTGTCAATGACTTTGTCTTATTGGATCCACAATCAACATCTTTGATATCAACAGTCAGTAGATTTGGAGACATATTGCACTGGAAAAAACAACAGTGAATTCTCTCTAAATTATTGAGGAACAATGATATCAATTTGAAGACTACAGTTTGCATGATTCAGACTATAGTCTTTTCAGTCACTTGCTGTGTACCAGAGAGTTGGACAATGAAGAAGGATAAAAGAATTGATGCTTTTGAGCTGTGGTGTTGGATAAGAGTATAAGAATACTCCATGAATTGCCAAAAGAACAAATTTATGTCTTGGAGAAAGTAAACCAGAGTGCTCCGCAGAGGCGTGGGTGACAAAACTTCACTTCACAAACTCTGGGCATGTCATTAGGAGAGGCTATTACCTGAAGGGGGATGTCTTGCTTGGAAAGGTAGAGGGTCAGTAAAAGAGAGGAAGACCCTCAACTAGATGCAATGTCACAATGACAAGCAATGGGTTCAAGTATATCAGAAATGATGAGGATGACACAGGACAGGACAGGGTTCAGATCTGCCATTCACAGGTTCATCAGGAGTTGCACTTGATAGCATCTAACAACAATAACTAGAATAGATACACCTTGAGAGTTGGTCACTTGACTTTTTTATTTCTAACTATAAGCACCTGGATCAGGGTCTGGCATATAGTGTATGGTCAATAAATATTTGTTAAATTTTAAAAAATAATAATAATTGGGGGCTAGGAGAGGAAATTATATCCAAAGACTGAAAGTAAACCACTGTAAAAACAGTGCAGCTGACATGGAAGTGGCTGAGCTGAGCCTCCAACTCCCACAACATAAAACCCATTCCTGTGAGGCTGGATATATCCCCACACTCCTTCCCCAATTCAGTGACTTCAAACACCAGCCATCCCCAGGGCTGTCACTGCTCTGCCACTGAGCCTGTTAAGTTGTCATAGTGGCCATGCAGAATTCACAGAACTATACTCACAAATAAGGGGTTTATTAAAGAAGTTAACTGATTATAATTGTAATAGTTGGCAATAAGATACAATTTTTCAGTCAGGACAGTTTCTCAAGCGTGTTAGGAGGCCCTTTGACTTTCAGCTTCTCTATGTCAGGATAGCAAAACGATGATAGTATTGCAAAAACAACCGTCTTGTTGTTGAGCTCTGTCAAGTCAGAACTGACTCATTGCTGACTCTCTAGTGGGTTTTCAGAGACAGTAAATCACACAGGAAGAGACTTCCAATCCTTCTCTTTTGGTGCAGTTGATGGATTCAAACTTTGTGCTTTTGGGATTGCAGAACAGCTTCTTACCACATCTCAATGCCTCTTCTCACCCCAGTGCACTCCTCCCACCTCGAGTCCATCAGCAAACTAAGGCAAAGGTCAGCAGCTCCGTCTCTGGCTCTGTGGGGCAGCAGTCCGTGGTCAGCTCTATCTCATGTTCCCTTGGTCTCCAGGCTGCTGCTCTCATCTAGGTCTCATGTGAGATGCGTGGGAATCTCTAGTCCAGATGAACTCCAATTCTTTCTTGCTGATAGTAAGAGTCTCATGTTCTGCCTCTAAACTTACTAATTTTAAGCTTAGTGGGTTGGCAATACTAACCAATCACATCATCAGTAGTCTGCACACCTTGTTTGCATGTTCCCATCCACAAGATACTAGTCACCTCATTCACATCACTGGCATAGCCCCA